CAAGGCCTTATTCCGGCCCAGAACACGAGCGGGCTGTCCTCTGCGGTCTTCTCCCCACCATGCACCCCTCCTTCCCGGGCTGCCTTAGGTGCCCTCTCAGTCCCTCGCTCAGACAGCGCCAGGTGGTGCCTGCTGTCTTGTCCTCCCTCCCCGGCTGATAACGCTCCATACTGCGGTGACCCTTTTTTTTCGGTGGCTGCTGCCCACTGAGGTGGTGGCTTTGGAGGCCGGTCAGTGGGGAGGCCAGGATTGGGTCCCTGAGACCCGAGCATCGATTGCGTCCCTGAGCCCCGAGCATCCTCGGTGCCTGCGCCGAAGCTCCTCTGCCACCTTTCGTCCCCCCAGGGGTGGCAAGGGGCTCCCTGGACCGCGGGTGCCAGACGCCCCGTGGCCAGCGCGGCTGCACTTTCACCTTGGGCTTTCCCCAGGACCCTCAGATGCCGCCAGCCAGCGCTGGGTCTTGTGTCCCCCCCATCTCCACGGGACCAATCCTTGCTGTGTCCGTCCATCGAAGCGACCCAGGTGCTCTGCCCCGGTGGCCACCACGAAAGGATCAGGTGGGGGAATGGGTCCAGCAGGAACGGGGAGCTCCTTGCCCACCTCTGCCAGGGCCTCGACGGCCTGGTGTGGCCCTGGCGCGTTGGGCGCTCCGTCCCACTTTCGAGGGATTCAAAAACACTGTTTTAGTAGCGGGGCACCCTTTGAGCGCTGCTTTCACCCTCTTAATGCTCTCCTGTCGGCTCACGATGGCTGGGTTTTCCGGGCTTTGCCGCTCTCAACACTTCCCTGTTCTCAGCAGGGCGTTTTTGGACGCCTTCGTTTTCTTTTCGCATGGCGGCTCGTGTTTTATCTGGCCACCTAGCGCTGCGTTTGTTAACGGCCTGTCACCGTCTTGCTCTCCCAACTGCCGCTTTCAGGGGGTATTTTTTTGGCGGGGGGGAGGCGCGTTACACTTCATTTTTCACACGGTGTTTTTCTCGGTGCTGAGCCCCCCGCGTGCCATCGCCGGCCCTATCCCGCTGCGGTGTCCGCCAGCTTGTTGCTGCCAAACTTTCTGGCCGCCTTCAGGTACCCTGAGCCCGACCCCGCTGGCGGCGATCGCCGGCCGAGCTCCTTTCCCCTCGCAACGCACAGTACTGGCCAGGCAAATCCCCCC